TCCTGCATCCATCACGGCTTTAATGTGTCGCAACCAGCCGGAGTTCTCCAGTCCTGTGAGGAAGTCGCTCATCGAAGGAGACTTTGCTTCACACACTGAAAAAGGAAGAGGAACCACGGCTTCGGTAAGAGAAAGCCCAGGTAACACCGAAGAGCCCTCCCAGTAAAGCCACAACTTCTGCATCCACACAAAGGTTCCCGGTCAGATCTGCCCTGGTTTGCTCTCTCAGGAAAGCGAGACTCGTGACTCCCATTTAGTGGAAGCCAAGGAACTTTTACTGAAAGAAACTGATTGCAGCAAAAGTCTGGAAGTTCCCACGCAAAATGCAAAGCTATTCTTTCCAACTCCCAATCTCTCCCTCCACGGCCGGTCCCCTGGCCAGCCAAGGCAATGCCAGTGAGATATTTGGAGAAACTCTGAGGAGCGAAACTGGTAACCTTCCATTCTCAGGGCAAACATCCTTGAAGATCCTGGTACAAGCTGGTCTGGTGATCTGGCCTTTTTCCGTTGTCCCGTCCCCCTCCCCATTTCCCACGATTAGATACACAGGTGTGGATTGCCCCAAATGCCCCCCTCCTTCCTTCCCCTTTGATAGTAGGAGCCCAGCAAAGTGCCAGGCTGACGATGAAGATCCCGACATTCCCCTTGGGCAGACTCTTTTATGACTCGTGGACTTCAACTCCCAGAATTCCTGAGCCAGCCATGCTGAGGGGAAAGGGAGAGGTTTCCAAGCTGAGCCATGCTGGCTCAGGAATTCTGGGAGTTGAAGTCCACGAGTCATAAAAGAGCCAAGGTTGCCTACCCCTGATCTATCTCTATCTGAATCCCTATGCCTGGGCCAGGGGTAGGCCACCTTGGCTCTTTTATGACTCGTGGACTTCAACTCCCAGAATTCCTGAGCTAGCATGGCTCAGTTTGGAAACCTCTCCCTTTCCCCTCAGCGTGGCTGGCTCAGGAATTCTGGGAGTTGAAGTCCACGAGTCATAAAGCGGCCTAGGCGTAGGCCAGAGGTAGGCAACCTTGGCTCTTTTATGACTCGTGGACTTCAACTCCCAGAATTCTTGAGCCAGCCATGCTGAGGGGAAAGGGAGAGGTTTCCAAGCTGAGCCATGCTGGCTCAGGAATTCTGGGAGTTGAAGTCCACAGTCATAAAAGAGCCAAGGTTGCCTAGCCCTGCCCTTGGGGATCCCTCCCCCACAGTACAGATAGTCCTTGCCTTACAACCATTCATTTAGCGAATGTTCAAAGTTGCAATGGAACGGAAAAAAGTGATTTATGACCGGCTTTCACACTTACGACCGTTGCAGCATCCTCATGTGATCAAAATTCGGATGCTGGGCACCTGGCACGTATCTATGATGGTTAGTGTCCTGGGTGTGTGTGTGTCATGTGATGGCCATTTATAAGCTTCCCAGCCAATATCCAACAAGCAAAGTCACTGGAGAACGCCAGATTCACTTAATGAGCAATGATTCATTTAGTGACAGCAGTGATTCGTTTAACTGGCAAAACAGACCGGAAAATGGCACGAAACTCATTTAACTGTCACACCTAAGCAACAGAAATTTGGGGCTCAATTGTGGTTGCAAAGTTGAAGACTGCCTGTGTTACAATTTAAGTAACAAAGCAGGATTTATTTATAATGCATTACTGCATCACTGTCACACCGAAGTGGTTCAGTCAATACACACCATGCTGTATTTACATTCTCAATAAAAAAATAAAAATCTTCCTTCCAGGTGGTTTATCGCTGCTAAGCACAATGCCTGCTAAGAAGTCAGGTAAACTGAATAAGCCAAGGACACAGCCAGGGCCTTAGTCTGCTAACGTCTCCCATTCAGAAGTTCCATCTGGATCTGCCTAAGCAGGCCACTACAAAGCACATCCTACCTTCCAGGAGTTTCTGCAGGCTGCTCCTCATTACGTGGATGTTTTCAATGCCGATGAATTTAAAACGGATGCATTCGTAATTATCCACATTCTCGTAGCCCTTCCCAGCAGCTCGGTTGGCCATGGCGTTCAACTAGGAAAATCCAATGACATTTTATTTATTACTGGGCATATTTGCTGCTCCAATCGTATTTATTAGAGCTGGCTTCCTTAGTCTGTTCTGTCAGCCAAGGATAAAAAAGATGCATACATATGAAACTACCAAAATAAATAATTACTACTCTATGCCACAGATGATAATCAAACTCAATTCAAACAGAGCACTGCATTGCAAGAGGGAAAACTTCATTGCGCATCTGTCCCCGGGGCCTGTTCAAAGAACAAGGTTAAATCTCTCCTAAAATCCAGGGAAGTTGGAACTGTAGGGATCTCTGAGGGGGATCCTGCTATAAATAAGGGGGAAGGAGTCACATTGGAGGTCTTCTAATCCAACCCCCTGCTTGAGCAGGAGACCCTATATTATTCCACACAAATGCTGTCCAATCTCTTCTTGAAAACCTCCAGTGATGGAGTACCCATAATTTCTGGAGGCAAGCCGTTCCATTGGTTAACTGATCAGATTGTTAGGAAAGTTCTCCTTAGTTCTAGATTGGATCTCTCTTTAATCATCTTCCAATCATTACTTGACATTAGATTAGACTAGACTAGACTAGACTATAGACTAGACTAGACTAGACTAGACTAGACTAGACTAGACTAGACTAGACTAGACTAGAGCTGGAAGGGACTTTGGAGGGCTTCTAGTCCTGCCCCCTGCTCAAGCAGGAGAACTAATACCATTTCAGACAAGTGGCTCTCTAAACAGTTCCCACAAACATTCATTGTATACTTTAGTCTCCAGCCTCCTAATCGTTCTTGATGGTCTTTTCTTGATGGTCTTTCTAGAATCTCAACATCTTTTTAAAAAAAAACATGGTGGCCAAAACTGGATGCAGTATTCCAAGCGTGGCCTTACCAAGGCATTACAAAGTGGCACTAACACTTCATGTGATCATGATTCTATCCCTCTGTTAATGCAGCCTAGCATTGTGTTGGCTTTTTTGGCAGCTGCAGCACACTGCTGGCTCACACTTAAGTGGTTGTCCACTAATTGTTCTTATGTTCCCTGCCATACACTTGCTGTACGAGTCCTTCACCATGTTTAAATGTTAAGCCTTGCTTGAGGTACTGCACAAGTTTACTCTGTTTTCCCCACGTCCTGAAAAGGCAGCTAATGAAGAAAAATAAAACAGACAAACCCAAAGCAAACTTTATGGCAACTTTTCCAAATCTAGCACCCTCTGGAATGGTTAGGTTAGCGATTTTCAGAATTCCCAGCCAGGATGCCAGTTATGGCAGAGCTATGACTTTCAGATCAGCCACCTAACCATGCTCGCATTTTGGACTGAGCACCAACTATTCAGAAGAGCAGTGAAGGCACCAGAGTGGCAAAACAAATTAACTGAACTTAAAAATGTCTCTTCCACCCTTTTAAGGATGGTGTCCTATGGACCGAGCCAAACTCAGCATCAAAGCTGTAAATCAGGGCTGTCCAACCTTGGCAACTTTAACACCTATGGACTTCAACTCCCAGAATTCCCTGGCATCCATGCGTGCTGGCGAATTCTGGGAGTCGAAGTCCACAAATCTTAAAGCTTGGACACCCCTGCTGTAAATTAAGCCAACCTCCGAGGCTCCAGGGAAGAAGTACCTTTGGCCTCGTGTCTACCACGTACATGAACCGACTCCCAGCATTGGCTTCCCGAATCGCCTGCAGCAGCTGTTCGTCTTCCAGGCAGCGAGTGCTAAATCCAGACAAAGGCTGGCTGCACCTGCAGATGGCGGCCTGCAATACAAAGGAGGTATGGAATGTAACAGGTGAGACATTCAGAACCGGGCCCTGATGTCCTTGCTCTTCCTTTTCAACTCGGATGCAACTCTTGCCAGGCTCCCGAGAGGCGTTTACATGGGCCTGCGTGAATATCGGAAACACGTTTGGGATAAAGTAGTGCAATTTGGAAAGAGAGGTTATATAGCAGTGATGGCGAACCTTTTAGAGACCGAGTGCCCAAACTGCAACCCAAAACCCACTCATTTACTGCTGGGTGCCAATGGGCGTGGCCCACTGGGTGGGCGTGGCTGTGGTGTTCATGGCAGACTGGGTGGGTGTGGCCAAGGTGGGCTTGTCCTGCGGGGCGAGGCGAGGCAGGGTGGGAGTGCCATTGCCGCGGGGCAAGGCGAGGCAGGGGCCGGGACGGCTGCTGCCTGACACCATCGGCCCCCACACACAGAGGACAGCGAGTGCATGGGGGGTGACGGTGTCCATCAGCAACCTCAGCCTGCCAGCCCATCAACTGGTGCACTCTGGGGCTCCGCAGCCCGCTGCCAGCAGTTCAGAGAAGCTGCCTCTGAGCTGGACGGACGAACGACAGCTGAGGAGGCGATGCAATGGGTCGTGCCCGGGAAAAGGAGAGCATGCAAGGCCAGGAAGGACGGGACAGGGGGGAGGGAAAACGGCCTTGCCGGGATGCATCTGGCCAAGTGGGACCTCGGCGAGTTAGTGGGTGGCTGGTTGAAGAGGGACGGTTGCCATCTCTGGGGCATGGCACACGTGCCTACAGAGAGGGCTCTGAGTGCTGCCTCTGGCACGCATGCCATAGGTTCGCCACCGCTGTTATATAGTTTGAATACTCCTTGGATTGAATCACGGGCAGTCCTTGACTTACAGCCATTTTGTTTTAGCGAACACTCGAAGTTACAACGGCAGTGAAAAAAGTGACATGGCCATTTTTCACACAACGATTGCAGCACCCCAAAACTTGGGCTCTGGGCAACCAATGTGGGTTTATGATGACTGCAGCGTTCCAGGGTGCTGTGATCACCATTTGCTGCCTTCTCGGTTGGCTTTCAACAAGGAAAGACAAGGGCGGAGGGAGACGGATCTGCTTAAGGACCGTGTGATTCGCTTAACAGCCGCCGTGATTCGCTCAACTGTGGCAAAAATGATTGTAAAATTGGGTAACAGCCTTGCTTAGTAACGGAAATTTTTGTCCCAACTTGTCAAGGACTACCTGTATCTCCCAACCCATCATGGGAGGCTTCAAATAAAATTCTACATGCAGGTCCTGTGTTTTCCGAGGAGGCGTGATCATTTTGCTTTCTCCTTCTTTCGCTGCTTCATCACCTTGCGTTTATTTCCCATCAATGTGGCCAAAATGCTGAGAAAGGAACGCAAGCGAACCAAAGAAAGCTAAAGGGGAAATTTCCCCCAGAATTTTAAATCCATTCGCAAAGTCATTTTGCCCAGCCTTGAGGGGAGAGCACGACAGAAACAACGAAGCTGGCAACTCAACAGCTCAGCGGTTTATTCCACAATAAGAACCGGCCCCTCAATCAGCCAAGTAATAAAAGAAATTATCTGCTCCGAGCTATTTCCCTCGGGTTCAAAAAGCTGAGATTAGCAGAGATGAGATGTAATTAGTTGAAGACTGCCTTGTGTGACTCATTTTGAGGATTGGAAAAAAAAGCACAGGACGCTTTTTAGGCTGCTCTAAATGGAAAGTTGCCATCTAGATCTTCACAAAATTGAACTTGATGGCACATATTCCCCTAAGATCCAACGAAGGGAGTTGCTGCAATCAGCAGAAAATTTGAGCAGTCAACTGCCCTCTCCAAAATCCAGTGGCCATACAGAACATTGGCCACAGCTGGATTCCAAATACTTGCATGCATTAAAGGATACACAGCCTGACACGGTATCTTCCAAGGGCTGCTGGCGTTTTTTTAACACATGCAGGTGCCTTGAATCCAGCGCTGCAAAACTCCATGTTTGATTCAGAAAAGGCCCTCTAGAACATGGCTGTTTTAGCTTGTTGCAGCTGCTTTAACAATGGAGAAAATGATACGGCTGCTTTAATGAGATCTCCCCCCCCCCTTTTTTTTGGTGTCTTTAAACCATTTTTTGACTCCTGGCAATTGCACGGAGTAGTCCCCCGTAGTTTTGATGGCAACGTTTTTTGGAAAGCATAGAAGCGATGCTTGAATAGGATCCGCAGGATTGTCTGGGAAGCTACACATCCTCTCCATGATTGGTTTCTTTGTTACCTTCTGGGGAGGGGCTTTGTGTGTGTGTATTTATACCATTTGTATAGCTATGTGCATGTACTGTATGTGTATGGGCATCAGAATTTCATTTTTTAATGTGTGCCAGTGTGTTCACAGAAAAACTGACAATAAAGCTTATCTTCTCTCTTATCTTATCGTCATTTTGTCTTGTCTTGTCTTGTCTATCTTGTCTTATCTTATCATCTTATCCTATCCTATCCTATCCTATCCTATCCTATCCTATCTTATCTTATCTCATCTATCTTATCTTATCTTATCTTATCTTATCATCTTATCTTATCTATCTATCTATCTATCTATCTATCTATCTATCTATCTTATCTTATCTTATCTTATCTTATCTTATCTTACCTTACCTTACCTTACCTTACCTTAACCTATCCCATCCCATCCCATCCCATCCCATCCCATCATCTCATCTCATTGTCTTGCCCTGTTAAACAATGTGACTTTCACTGTTGTAAGCTGGGGAAAAAAGAGAGCAAGCCCATAGAAAACAAAAAACAGCATGACTAACGTTATTCTCTTTGTAGAAGTAGGAAAGCACAGGTATCCGACCTCGGCTTCGGAACTTCGCGCTTCCCAAGACCATCGCCCTAGCAGCGGCTTTAGGCACGACCAGTTCCCGGGAATAGGTGCTGCAAATCTAGGACAAAGAGATGGATGAAACTATCTTCCGTTATTTACTGATGGTCTCTTCACTTGCAAAGCCGTTTCTTACGGATTTACAGTTGAGCAGAGCTGTGCTACAGGTCGTCCTTGACTTACCGACCATTTGTTTAACAACAAAGATGCTGAAAAAGTGACTTACAACCGTCGCACTTACAGCCTTCCTAGGGTCGCCACAGTCACGTGACTGCAATTTGGGTGCTTGGCAACCGGAATGTATTTACGACGGCTGGTTGAAGCATCCCCAAATGGGTCGCGTGAACGCCGTCGGCAACTTTCCCAGGGGGTTTCGAAACTGGCAAGCAAAATCTTGGACTTGCTTAATGCTCGCACAATTCACTTTTAAGAAATGGTAAAATGGGGTGTGACTCAATGACCGCATCTCTTAGCAACAGAAGTTCTGTTCTCAGTTGTGGTCCGTAAGTCGAGGACTAGCTGCAGAATCCCCTGGCCTAGATAGCACACCCAAAGCAGATGCCAGCTCACCTCGTAATCCTTGTTGACGTTGCTGATTTCCCAGGAGCTGCTCTCGATGCCCATCCGCAGGTAATCGGCTTTGACATCTATCGACTTCCAGCCCGTCTCTCGGCTGCCTTCAGGGGTTTTGGGATTGTAAGAGAAGGCGTAAAGTTCTTCGGGTTTCACTAAAGCACAAAAGCAATTTTGAAAGGCAAAAAATCAGCCATTTGGGCCTCTGAGACCAAATCTTAACCACTGCCCCTGCATACAATGATATTACAAATAAGTTCTTCCTTTAATTTCTGTTCTGTTTTATTAAATTTGCATCTAACATATCCTGCAGATTTAAAAATAAACCTAGAAAGTTACTAAGCCCCAAGACGATTCGCAAGAACCCTTTCAGCTCTGGCAGATAAAACTACAAGCAGCCATTTTGTTATTAGTTTTTTTCAATAAAAATGTCTATACACCGTTGTTTAAAGATACTGTTGCTTAGAACTAACAGAAGGGATCTTGGAGGTCTTCTAGTCCAACCCCATGCCCAAATAAGAGACCCTATACTATTTCAAACAAGTGGCTGTCCAGTCTCTTCTTAAAAGCCTCCAGTGATGGAGCACCCAAAACTTCTGAAGGCAAGTCTTTCCAATTTCTTAGTTCTAGGTTGCTTCTCTCCTTGATTAGTTTCCATTGTTTCTTGTCCTGCCCTCAGGTGCTTTGGAGAATAAGTTGACCCCCCCTCTTCTTTGGGGCAGCCCTTCAAATACTGGAATACTGCTATCATGTCATTCCTAGTCTTTCTTTTCTCTAGACTAGACTAGCCTTAACCACAACTTTTAACAATAAAATAAAATATTAATAAAATAATAAAAGGCCTTTTTCTCTTCCACTTACTCCTGTACCTAGTTTTCCTCCCTAGCGCTCCAATGTCCCAGCATCCAGCACAAAGAATGCTTGAATGTTGCTAACATCTTGCTAGAATAAAAACCCAGAACAACTGGGCCTAACCCAGGGGTAGGCAACCTTGGCTCTTTTATGACTCGTGGACTTCAACTCCCAGAATTCCTGAGCCGGCATGGCTCAGTTTGGAAACCTATCCCTTTCCCCTCAGCATGGCTGGCTCAGGGATTCTGGGAGTTGAAGTCCACGAGTCATAAAAGAGCCAAGTTTGCCTACCCCTGACCTAGGCCTGTATTTCTCAAACTTGGCCACTCGGAGATAGGTGGACTTCAATTCCTAGAATTCCTGAGCAAGCATGGGGAAACTATTACCCCCTTGATGACTTCTGGACTTCAACTCCCAGAATTCCTGAGCCAACATGGCTCAGCTTGGAAACCTCTCCCTTTCCCCTCAGCATGGTTGGCTCAGGAATTCTGGGAGTTGAAGTCCACGAGTCATCAAAGGGCCAAGGTTGCCTACCCCTGGCCTAACCCCTTTCAGCACAGCCTGGAAAAAGCTCTGTTCCCCAGGGAAAGAGGCATTTAAAAGTCAGGGAGAACAGGCCGCTCCCGCGTTAACAGCCCCGGAACAGGCAAAAAACGGAACTGCGCGCCACACACACCTGGTTGCGAGAGTTTCAGCAAAGAGGTATAGACTTCGTGACAGTCTCGTTCTTGCACCATCAGAAAGCGAGCTACGCGGAAGTTCTTGCAACGAATTTGCAACTGGCATCCGGAGGCATTCAGCGGTAGCTTCTCCACGGTAGCTACGTGGTGGTGGAGGATCTAGAGATAACAAGACAAGAAGTTCCGACTAGCGAACCCAACCAAGCAAACCTCTGAGCAGCGGTGGGATTCAAATAGGGGAACAACCGGTTCTCTGTGTGGATGCCGCTTCCGGAAGTCCATTCTAGTGGTGCGAACCGGCTGAACCCCACCTCTGCCTCTGAGACGTTTCTGGCTCGAAATGCAAAACTTTACTGAGTACGCCATATTGGCACATATGAAAGTAAAACCGGCTCTGACCAGACCCCACCCAGGTCACTATAGTAGTAGCAGTAGTAGTAGTAGTAGTAGTATTAGCAGCAGCAGCAGCAGCAGCAGCAGCAGCAGCAACAACAACAACAATAATAAAAAGTTGGAAGGGACCTTGGAGGTCATCTAGTCCAACCCCCTGCTCAGGCAGGAAACCCTATATCATTTCGGGGACTGGAGGCCAAAGCAAATAAGGAAAGGCTGCTGGAATTGGGTATGTCTAGTTTAAAGAAGAGAAGGGCGAGAGGGGACATGATAGCAGTGTTCCAATGTCTCAGGGGCTGCCCCAAAGAAGAGGGAGTCAAGCTATTCTCCAAAGCGCCTGAAGGCAGGACAAGAAGCAATGGATGGAAACTAATCAAGGAGAGAAGCAACCTGGAACTAAGGAGAAACTTCCTGACAGTTAGAACAATTAGCCAGTGGAACAACCTGCCTCCAGAAGCGGTGAATGCTCCAACACTGGAAGTTTTTAAGAAGAGATTGGACTAAAAGCATTGATTTCTTCCTCCTCTTTCTGTGTCAGGTCACATTGCCCAATCAAGTTGCAAGATATTGTTGGGAGAAAGCATTTCTAGATCCGGCCAGACTTCTGGCAATTGACCTTGGTTCCCACAGTCTGCTTCCTTACATCTTCGAAGTTTGCACTCCACACCTCTTCTCTCTCCCTGGACTCGTTAGCAAGTCGAGAAGCAACATCCATCCCACCATTAAGGCTGGTCTTCCAGCCTCGACAAAAAGTAAACGGTGGCGGCTGTGTGGGTGTGGGTCAACCATGAACCTTCCTGTGGCTAAAATAGCAAAAGCCAATACGGGTGGTCCTCAACGTATGACCACAATTGAGCCCCAAATTTTTGTTGCTAAGCAAGGCAGTTGTTAAGTGAATTTGGCCCCATTTTACAACTTTGCTTGCCACAGTCAAGTGAACCACCGCTGTTGTTAGGGTTAACAACATGGCTGTTAAGTGAGTCTGGCTTCCCCACTGATTTTGCTTCTCAGGTCGCAAAAGGGGATCACGTGACCCCCCCCAGGGACGCTGCGACCGTCATAAATATGAGCCAGTTGCCAAGCATCCGAATTTTGACCACGTGACGATGGGGATGCTACAACGGTCGTAAGTGTGAAAATGGTCATTAAGTCACTTCTTCCGGTGCCTTCGTAACTTTGAACAGTCCCTAAATGAATGGTTGTTAAGAGGCAACACTAACTTGCAAGGATGCATTTGATGGGCGTGAAAGTGGCTGCCCCTTTGATTTCTCTCCTAGGCGAATTCCCACAGCTCAAGCTGCCGTATCCCACAGACCCTGCATTGCAATGCACGTTCAAATGGCTCCGTTTTTAAGCCTGAGTGCAATCTAGGGTAATGTGTTGAATGAGGCTTCTTCTTCTTCTTGTGCCATATCCGTTATCAGACGTTGGCGATCATGTTGGCGATCCTGTTTTTATCAGCAGCCGGACGGAAAAGTGCCACTGAGTTTTGTCCAAACCAGTCCCTTAGATTTTGAAGCCACAATGTTCTTCTTCTGCCTGGACCTCGTTTGCCTTCCATCTTTCCCTGGAGGATTAAATGGAGTATGCCGTATTTTTCTGGGTGTCACATCACGTTTCCGAAATATTCTAATTTTCGTTTTTTAATTGTTTTGATGATTTCCCTTGGCTTTCCCAGGCGGCTTATCCCCTCCTCATTTCTGATCTTGTCAACCCAGCTTCTACATAACAGACGCCTGTCAGTCCACATTTCAAATGCTTCTAGTCTCTTCAGGTGGCCTTCTGTCAGAGACCAACTCTCTACTCCATAGAGCAGGATAGGAAAAATATAGCATCTGACAAGCCTGATTTTCAGTCTTAGGCTTATGTCGTGCAGGCTTTTTTTTTTTTTTTTTTTACTGTTGTGGGCATTTTAGAGAAGTTGATTTTCTCGGCGGTAGAAGGCTAAGAATGGAGAACTTGCGGTCAGCCGAGAGTGCAGATGCTGCTCAGGGAGTTGGGGAGGAGGCCCTGTTTTGACTACTTTTACATTTTGCTTTCCACTAAACGACCTCAGCACAGCAGGGTTCATGCAGGGATGAAAATGAAGACTGAACAATGACCTCTTTGCCGATGGCATCTTTAGGCCAGCCTCTCTATGGAGTAGAGAGTTGGTCTCTGACAGAAGGCCACCTGAAGAGACTAGAAGCATCTGAAATGTGGATTGACAGGCGGCTGTTACGTAGAAGCTGGGTTGACAAGATCAGAAATGAGGAGGGGATAAGCCGCCTGGGAAAGCCAAGGGAAATCATCAAAACAATTAAAAAACTGAAAATTAGAATATTTCGGACATGTGATGCGACACCCAGAAAAATACGGCATACTCCGTTTCATCCTCCAGGGAAAGATGGAAGGCAAACGAGGTCCAGGCAGAAGAAGAACATCGTGGCTTCAAAATCTAAGGGACTGGTTTGGACAAAACTCAGCAGCACTTTTTTGTGCGGCTGCTGATAAACACAGGATCGCCAACATGATCGCCAACGTCCAATAACGGATATGGCACAAGAAGAAGAAGAAGAAGTCAAAGGCTACTTTGGCAGGGTGCTAAACTCATCAGTCAAACTTTAAAAATGTAGGCTCCGATCTCAGTTAACTGATAGGAACAGGAGAGCATGCAAAATATGGTCACTGAAGGCAAGATGGTGACCCTCAGGGCACAATCAAAGCTCCATCTGTTTTGTTTTGTTTTTTTTAAATGTGCATTACACATTACACACAGAGCTTTGTTTGCGCTCTCATTCTCTGGCGCAAAAGACTAGGTCCACCTGTGAAAGTCCAATTAAACAGATTTATTGCTGCTCAGGGCCTATGTGTAGCAATATTCTCAAGAAATGGGCAGCAGCTGCTTGGAATTAGATGAGGGTCAACCGAATTCAAGGGAGGTTGGAATGGGTCTGCTTGTGACTTTGTAGGGATTCTAGGCTGATCCCTCTAACTCCAGATTCTGCCATTCCTTCTTCTCACTTTTTTTAACCCCTTTTTTTGGACACCTTTGAGTTGTGTGATACTTTGGATTCAGCTGGAGAGAGGGGTTTCAAAGGCACTGGCTCGCCAGCCAGTTTGCAAGTCTTTAAAATCTGTGTGCACTTTCCAAAGCACAAATCCAATGCATTAGAACAACGCTTCTCAAACTCTTTCCCAAACAGTTTCATTTTGTGCTCTTTGTGAAGGCAAGGGTGGGAAATCCACAGTTCACCCATGTGGGCTGCTTGGAAAATGGCAATAATGGCATCACGGCCCCTTCAGCTCCTGCAGGACATTCATTGTGAATTGCTAACCAGCCAGATTCCGATCCTTTTTTCTTAAAATAACGTTTTGCACCGATTGCTTGACCTCTGTGTAATCATTAGCTCTGCAAAACCATTAATGGGGTTTGCGTGTTGCCATCCAAAGAAAAGTCACTTTTATCCGATTTTGGGGAATTTACCCAGGTATGGGAAGCACTGTGTTGGGCTGTAATGGGCTGTAGCAATGACCTGGAGGAGCAGGAAGAAGAGCTGCCCCCAAGACAACAGCCAGGTAAAAGAAATTTGAGTTGAATTGAGACAGAAATGTAATTTAAGAAAGCATCTCATGCTTGATCTTCCTTTGTTGTTAGTTGCAAAGTCGTGTCCGACCCATGGCGACCCCATGGACAACGTTCCTCCAGGCCTTCCTGTCCTTTGCCATCTTCTGGAGTCCATTGAAGCTCACACCTCCTGCTTCAGTGACTCCATTCAGCCACCTCATTCTCTGTCGTCCCCTTCTTCTATTGCCCTCCATCTTTCCCAGCATTAGGCTCTTCTCCAGTGAGTCCTTCCTTCTCATTAGGTGGCCAAAGTACTTGAGTTTCCACTTCAGGATCTGGCCTTCTAAAGAGCAGTCAGGGTTGATCTCCTCTAGGACTGACCGGTTTGATCGTCTTGCAGTCCAAGGGACTCGCAGGAGTCTTCTCCAGCACCATAGTTCAAAGGCCTCCATTCTTTGGCACTCAGCCTTTCTTATGGTCCAACTTTCACAGCCATACATTGCAACTGGGAAAACCATGGCCTTGACTATACGGACTTTTGTTGATCTTCCTTTGTCCTCTCAAAGATAAGGGAAGGGCGTGGATTCAGACTTGCAAGAGTCAGTTAATCTAACCTTATAATAAAAATAGTATTAGCATTCATAACTTTGGTTTCTCAGTTGGGTTTACCTCAAAGGGCTGACACTGATAGTCTTAACTGATAGCCATTTCTAAAAATAAATGTGATATGCATGTTCAAACATTTAATAACAGCTCTACAGCAGTGGTTCTCAACTTTTTCTTCACTAGGGAGCCCCTTTAAATACCTTTTGTGGCCACAGACCTTGGCCATGGACCTCCAAGACTTAGGATTTAAATCATAATATTTCTTCAAGCCTTTGCGGACCCCTGTGACACTGTTCCCCCCCCCACAGGGTCCGCAGACCACAGGTTGAGAACCACTGCTCTACAGAATGTATTTCCAAACACAATGTGGTGAAAACCGAGCTATAGATTTTCAGGGTCTTCGTAGCCTGTTGACTGTTGACTTTGGTTGGTCTGATCCATCAAGAATCTCATGTTCAAATGTTGCTTATGAGCCGTTCACCAAACACAGCCATCTACAACCTGGTTAATGCTGGGATTTGCAGTCTTCAGCATCTACAAGGCAGCTGTCAATGCTGCAAATACTGTATATTCTTGCTTTGACAAAATATGCAGAACTGTCTGGTATTTTTAGAGTTAATTCAGATGATGGTGGGGGGGAGGAGAAAGATAGGACTGCGGGAGGGAAGTGACCAGAAGAGAACCTCTGCCCTTCCACCTGATAGGAGAACATGATATATGACAGCAAATTTAGGGAGGGAACATGCTGGTAAATTAATTGCTCAGAGGAAGAGAATTTTAGACCTTAGCATCAACTCGTTGTGCCTGTGCCAACATTTTGTAACAATAAATTACTTTTAGGAAAATCAATGCCTGGAAGTTCTTTGAAGTGTTTCATTAGCCGGAACCATAACAGCAGCTAGTTAGGGACTAACCGGACCAGGGGTCTTCAAACTTGGCCCCTTCATGACTTGTGGACTTCAACTCCCAGAATTCCTCAGCCAGGCACGCTGGCTGAGGGAATTCTGGGAGTTGACGTCCACAAGTCATAAAAGGGCCAGGTTTGAAGACCCCTGAACCAGACTGTTTAGATTAAGTCCATCACAGATAGTTCTCGACTTACAGCTATAATGAAGCCTGCCCATTACGGTCATAAGCTGTGACAATCAGCACATCACCAGATCTGATTTTACAAGATTTTTGGCAGTGATCGCTAAGGGAACATCGCGGTCATATAGCAAACACCACAACTGTTAAGGGAATCCACTGTTTGCCATGGGGCATTTTTGCAAAAACCGGAAGTAAACACCAGTTTTCAGCAAAAGCCTTGTAAATAACGATCACATGACCCCAGCTCTAAATGTGGGCCCGGTGCTGTGTTCATGGGACTGCCAGAAGGGGCAGCTGTAAGAACTTGAGAACTTGAGTTATAAGTACTCCTCCTTTTTGGGTGGGTCTGTTGTAACTTAGCCATTTAACTGTTGCCTAACGGCCAGCCGTAGGTCAAGGACTACCTCTACTAAAAAAAGTGGAAATGAGCTTAGCTTTCGCGAGACAAGAACCGTTTGGTTCTCAGTGGTCTGGAAAATGGCTATATTCCAAGCTTACCCATGTCTCTTTTCGAACTTCAGTTGAGGTGTCCACGTAGATCAGATGAGTAGCCGTCAAATACAGCGTCCCGTTTGCTGCTTTCTTGTTGGTATAACGATCTAGCAACTTGACATTTTCTACCTGTAGGGCAGAGAGGAGGGGAAAAAAAGAAAAGAAACCAGAAAGGAACAAACCAATTAGAACATGTCTAAAAAAGGCAGAACGCACCAGATCAGTCACCGAGCATGGAAAGCATTTGTACCACTGTTCAAGCTCTCCCTCTTTGCACCAGCAAGGAATTGAGTAATTACTGAAGAGATGGGAAAAGGCATCCTTCCTCTAATTAAGCCCAGAGCCTCATCGTGCTGCGATAGGATGCCAATCAGGTCAAAGTTATAATCTTCACACACTGGGTTGTCCATCATAAAGAAAAATCATTTCTCGGTGAGTTAAGAAAGGAACCTTTTATAATTGTGAATTAGGCTTCATGTACCCTCCATTACAAGCTTTTGGCATACGGTTCAGCTACTCAGCCAACTTGAGAACAAGGAGCTCTGCCTGCATGGATGAGAATCAGGGGCCAAGAAGATGGTGGGGTTTGTTAAGAATAATGACTTTCCGTCAAGGGGGAAATAATTATAAGGCTCCTTGTTTTGCCTCAGTTAAAATGATTTCAATCAGAAAAGCTGGAGGCATAAAATCCAGAACGAGTACTTATGAGACAACACGGAGGTGGTCACTTTTGGCCCCGGAAATACATTTCTGCACCTAAGCACCCAATCAAATATATCCTATCTCCTTAATCCACAGTGCTCATCTTCATAATCCACTTTGTAGTACCTGGCTTTTGCTGATGGTGCTTGAGAAGCCGCCATCAAATCAGTTACGAGGAAATGGAAGTTCTCCAGATGGTGATGGAACCGAACTCTTAGCAACTCAGCCACCTGGGGCAAGAGGGGTTGGGATTGGGAATTGTAGTCCAGCCAGATCTGGAGGGACACAGGATTCCCATCCCTGCACCAGTGAGCATAGATTCAAGAATCCTAAAATTTAAGGCAGGGTTGCCCAACCTGGCCTTGCAAACCGATGGGGGGGGGAGAAAGAGAGGGGATGGTTCTGCCCACACAGCGGGCAAGCACATGCAGCTCCGTTTGTGCCAACGCAAGTGGAGCTGCGTGTGTGAGAGCACTCGCCCGTCGCTTGGGTGGCCCGGTTTGGGGCTGCAGCCTGGGGGCTGGAGACCCCCGGTCTAAGGGACCTAGTCTATGGAGATTATCAATCCTCCAGGTCTTGATTATTCCAAAAGGCAACTGGACTTTCTTGTGGGCTTTTTTTTTCTTGGAAAACATTTCGCTTCTCGTCCAAGAAGCTTCAATCAATCAATCTCCAGTGAAGGGGGAAATTCTCCAGTGAAGGGAAAAAAACAATGGGTTGTTCTATACCAGGGATCTCCAAACTTTAAGACTTGTGTCCCAAAGGGGCTTTTTCATGACCTCTGGGCTGAAGAAGCTTCTTGGAAGTGAAAGGTCTTCAAAGAAAAACAAGGAAGTCCAGTTGCCTCGTGAAAAAGCACCTGTCAAGTGTCTGATTAACGAAACACTTAAAAGGACTTTCAGGCATTTTTTCTCCTAAAAGCATTTATTCGTGTTACAGATACGTCAGTACAACATGGAGGAAATGCTTAGGACTGGCTTCTTTTCCGCTATGCATGTAAATCTAAGCATTTCCCTCCCACCTTTTTGGGGGGTCATGGTTCACATCTTCCAATCAACTTGGAAGATGTGATTTACTTCCGGTTTCTTTTCCCCTTCTGCCTGGTTTAACTATAAAAAAAATGCCAGACAGCTCTGCATATTGTCAAAGCAAGAATATACAGTATTTGCAGCGTTGACAGCACCTTTGGGACAGCCATGACCTGGATGGCTGAGGATCTCCATAGACATTTAAGACTTGTGGACTTCAACTCCCAAAATGAGAGTTGGCTGGGGAATTCTGGGAGCTGAAGTCCACAAGTCTTTTAAAATTGTCAAGTTGACTTCTGCTCTATATGGTAACCCATTCCACTGATTGACAGCTCTTGCTCTGTCAAGAGGTTCTCCCTCACGTCAAATCTGTATCTACATCCTTGAACTTCCATCCGACTCTTAACTCTCTATCTGAAGATGAAAGCCCTCCAGATAGTTGAAGAAGACCCTCATATCTCCTCCCGACCTTCTCTCCTGTAAACTAAACACAAAGGTAGTCCTCAACTTATGACCACAACTGAGCCCAAAATTTCTGTGGCCAAGCAAGACAATCGTTAAGTGAATTTTGCCCCATTTAATGACTTTTCTTATCACAATTGTGAAATGAATCACTCCAGTTGTTTAAGTTAGTTACAGGGTTGTTAACCTGGCTTCCCCCCTGACTTCTTTGCTTGTCGGAAGATCGTAAAAAGGGGATCCCGTGACCCCGGAACACTGCAACTGTCATAAATATGAGTCACTTGCTAAGCGGCTGAATTTTGACCACAGGGACCGTGGGGATGCTGAAGTATGAAAACAACCATACAGTCCCTAAATCAACTGTTGTTAAGTCAAGGACCACCTGCACTTAGGTCTTCTAACCATTCCTTGTAGGAACAGAGAATTCAATAGGTGAGCATGACCAAATAAGAAATAAAAGGAAGCTGTTGGGATAGGTAGGGGAGCCCAAACCTTGACCAGGTAAGGAGGAAGTGAAGGAGCAAAAAAAAAAACTCACCCTAGATGCTAAGCACTTCACGGCGGATGGAACAGAGGACCCTGTACAGAAGCATGGACATGCCCTGGACCACTGCATGCACGCTCCAAACTTACTTCGGAAAGCAAATGGAGAAATAATAAAGCTATCATCCGATATTTCAGAACTGCTGTATAGAGTTCTAACATGGTTATAGGCAGTGGTGGGATTCAAATAGGTGAACAACCGGTTCTCTATGTGGGATTCCGCTTCTGGAAGTCCATTCTGGGCCTGGGCAACAAAAAAATTAGCTACCGGTTCTGCCAAAGTGGTGCGAACTGGCTGAATCCCACCACTGATTATAGGTAGTCCTTGACTTATGACTGGGTCATTTAGAGACTGTTCAAATTTCTGACAGACCTACCTGGGGGATACTTATGACAAAGACAGGGCAGCCCCCCCCCACTGCAGTCACGCGACTGCATTTCGGGTGCTCAGAAACCAGCCTGCACTGTCCCAAAGTCACAAGACCCTGTTTTAGGACGCTTTGCCAAAACCCTGAATTTATTTCCTGTTTTCGGCAAAAAGCGGGCCGTAGCAAACAACTGTTTTGTTTAATGGCCATCATTTAACTGTGGTGGTCACTTTATGACCATCGCATTTACTTAATGACCGCTGCAAAAAAGGTCATAAAATAGGGTCGTTCACGCGGGTGTCCCTTTTTACAACTGACACAACTTACCACGGTTAATGGACAGGCTCTGTTATGAGCATAACTTGAGCACCACCTGTATAAAAACTCAAGTAAAGCAGCTCCTATGAGAGATAAAGCACGGTGGAATAATCTCCTAGTTCCGTGGTGGCGAACCTATGGCACATGTGCCACAGGTGGCATGCAGAGCCCTCTCTGTGGGCACACGTGCCGTTGCCCCCGTCCTAGGCCTTCAGCTGGGTTTTATAAAACCTTTTCGCTTTACGCCTCCGCTGCCGTGTGCAAAAAAAAAAAAGGTTCAATCAATTTCAACTTCTTGCGGGGAAAAAAAAAGATCTCGCAAAGTTGGAATTGATTGATTGAACTTTTTAGTCCCACCCAGTCTGCCGTTACCACCACAGCCACGCCCACCCAATGGGCCACACCCACCCAATGGGCCACGCCCACCCAGCACTCGACAATACATAAGTGGGTTTTGGGTTGCAGTTTGGGCACTCAGTCTCTAAAAGGTTCGCCATCACTGCCCTAGTTCATTGGAATCACTCTTCAATCACCCAATATTTCTCGTGCAATTAATTCTCACTCTTTCTCACTATGAGATGCAAAACCTTCTATCATATTAGGCCCTTCATACTGTTTGGACTGGATATTCCATATACTGGATTCACCCCGCATTCCACATTTAGCACCCCATCACAGAATAACAGTACAACGGGTTTGCTTAATAACTTTGGTGTTCGCTTAATGACCGTCATAAAAACTGTCGTACAGTTGGGTCTGGTGAATGACCACGATGAGTTATGATGGTAATTCCAGGCTCAATTATGATTGTAGGACTTCCAACTAGCTTTGGTGTCTAAACCAGATGGAGCCCTTAATCCCAATCCAGTCAATCATTCCTGTTTTGACATTTCATTTGATTTTAGCAAAGGTCCTTCTTCCGATTACTCTCAGTGCCACCAAATGCCCCTAAAGCAGGGGTCCCCAACCTCTGGTCCATGGACCGGTACCGGGCCGCGACATGCCAGCAACCAGTCCACACAAACAAGCAAAGCCCCATCCATGGGATGCAGGTAGCATACAAAACCACGCTTCCTCCGGTCTGTGGAAAAACGTCTCTCCAAGTAACCGGTCCCTGGTGCCCCAAAGGTTGGGGACCTCTGCCCTAAAGCTTCAGCATAAGTGCAAAAACTTTCAACGTGGCCTCTTTCAAGAGGAGACCTGGCCAAACTACAGCACTGAGCAATTTAGCCTCAGCAGAGCCAGCTCTGGCAAGAAAATGAGATTTAAGCAACCACTGAGATTTATAAGTCCCACCAGTGCAGTATTTTTGCTGTTGAGTAATGAGTTACCTTTGAACCAAAATCTGACTACAATGCAACATCACAGCTCCTACAGATTCCTGCAGCCCTTTCTGCAATCTTTATCTCCCACTAGCCAGGATCGCTGAAAACTGTCCACCAAGCTGTGTCAGGATCTTACTTGCAAGAACTGCCCTGTAACTTTTTTCAGTGCAAGGGGGAAAAAAGACCTAGGGGCGCTAGCGGAGAGACAGAGGCCAGCTGTTGCAACCCAACTCCTAACACAGGTTTTCTGCCTCTAAATTTAAAATATGCATTTGTCTTTTATTCCAGGTCATTTACAAGCCATCTTCCCACACTGCCCTTCCTCCCCCATCTGGCATTTTTCAGGAGCGTCACAAGATTTATCTCCGTGTAACGGGAGAGGC